TAGATCGACGAATAAACTTATAAATAAGGCATATAGTGCTTAGAAAGGGGGGCTAAAGCAATTAGAATAAATATAATTCAAAGCTAATTAAAACAACGGTACCAAGCAAGGAGAGGTATTTAAACACTATAGTAACACAAACAATTAACTTATGTCGCCATAATCATGGGTTTATAAAAATTTAGACTAACCAGATTTAAATATGAATTTGCTGCAATTTTCCTGTGTAGTCTGTCATAGATCTTATAGTCAAAGTATAAAAAGAGCATAATGCACGTTACCATTAAGAAATTATAGGTAAGGTCCATAATTTCAGTGGCAAAAACTCGTATCCAAACGATTAGAAAGAAAGCTCATGAGCTGGTTTATAAAAATGTGGCGCAAGCACTATAGTAAGGACAATTCTTATCCTAACTTGTAAATTTCTAAAACATTTTCGTTTCTTTTCAGCAGTATTTTGCGAACAGAAGGAGTACCAGCACTGTTTAAAGGAGCCGTTTGTCGTGTTGTGGCTATCGCACCGTTATTTGCTATCGCTCAAACAGTTTACTATTTTGGAGTAGCCGAAAAGATTCTTGGTGTGAAGAAAGCCGCACATGTCTAGAAGGATTGAAACTACGATTCTTTGAAACAAACTGTACAGCAATTATCGAAAATCTCTTCACTGATCAGATAAATGATTCTCGATTTTGAACTTTTTAAGTGTTTTGTATTCTTCAACCTTTCTGAGAGGTTCTACAAACTACGTAAATGACTCATCCCGCGTTTCCGTTTACCTAGCGACGACAGAGACAATAAACTGCCGTGAAAAACCTGTTCTTACCGTCGGTGCCAATCGACTTTGTTGTAAAAGGCCCCATGACGCAAATGTATCCCTTTATAAAACCTTTGTTCACCACTTGGTCACTAGTCTTCTCATTTTTACGTTTCTTCTTGATAACACACTTTTGCATGGAATTTTTTATCACCACTACTAATAGACTTAACAATTCCTTTTGACTTTTAGCTTCCAAAACTTTTCGCTCTCAAAAATCACAAATAATGGGAATATTCGACGCACCGATTTGCTTTTTTAGATTACATGTAAATAAATCATAGAGCTCTAGAAAGAACGATCGTAACTTACTTTTAATTTTCCCCTGATCGGTGATTTTGCCAGTATTGGAGATTTTCTAATATGATACCGACTGAGCAAAAATTTCAATACCTTTAACTGATGAGATTTAAGCTATCAGACTGCTTACCTTTCCTCTTTACAATCACATAAAATACTCATAGCAGCTCTTTCTTGTTATGTTGTGCTTACACCAAGATGTTAAAACTTATTTATTCGGCAACGTACTCATAACACCATTTGAAAGATTCAATTGGTTTTGCCATCCCTTCAATGATTCTGAGGAAACTAGTTTAACCTTACTGGAACAGAAATGATTTTAGCACCTAAGTACAACAACTAACATGCTTAGGATGACTCAGTGCTCATCTGACCTGCTTCCAAATGTTGACTCACCTCAATCCTATATATACACTATAACGTCCATTTACCTTGAAGTCGCCTTTGCACGTTCCCTTCAAAATTAAAGCATGCCATTTTTTTAGGAAAGTTAGACTCCTGTTAGCTACGGTAGTCAGTTTCCTACTCTGCTTGAAGGAAACGAAACTAAAGTATAGTACAGCGAGATGGTATGAAGTTTTCTTGATAGTCTGCTTTGAAGTCATCTCTTTCTTACTATCGTGCCGAACTGTGTCCAAAAAATGACTCGTATGAAGCAAATCTTTTTAGATGTCCATTATAACTATTGTGCTGACTATTCTGTCCTGCTCAACGTTAGCGCAAACACTTTTCACCCA